GTAATCATTAAAGCCGAAAAGAGCCTAGCTTCACAGGTCGAAAAGGTTCAGGTTCTTTTATTGCCTCTATAAAAAAATTCATATATCAATACAAGCAGTAGGTGTTTAGCATATAGGTCATTAGTTGTTACAGTTCTCCTATATGCTTGTGAAGTCAACGCTGGTTTTTCATATGTTTTTAACAATCCACATTTGTTTAATTTTTTATCAATTAAGGCACGTATCAAAGATCAATACCATCAGGAATGGTTTGCTTCTCTAGAGCAATCCAGTAAGTTAAGATTTTACAAAAACTACAAACTAAATTTTGATCGTCGAAACGGGTCGTTATACCAAAATTCCGCGTAATAAGAGATATTGTTTATGTTGCAAATCCATATATATCGAAGACGAATTTCATTTCCGTTTGTGTTGCCCTTTATACATTGACTTGCGCCGCCGTTTATTTCATCGTCGATTTTGGGCGTTTCCTTCAATTTTTAAAATGAATAGATTATTATCTCCTAAAAATAATAATGAACTACTTAATTTGGGTAAATTTCTTTTCGAAGCAATCAAAATCAGAGAAGACCTATTAACACACTAATGCTGTCAACCTTTTGGGATTTCTTATTATTCTATGTAAATGTTTTGATTTATATAATTGATAAATTGTATATATTGTTATTTTTGGTATTTATTGACTTTAACCAGATTGATTTACATTGTTCATATTGTTCTTCCGTTAAATTTTTTGTTAAATAGCTATAGTATGTATGTACTTTGCTTAATAAAGTATCTATCTAATATATTCCTTCAGACACGTAAATATACGTAATATAATAATTTTCTAACCTACCGTTAAGTTACTGACAGGATTCAGTTATAACATATTTTGTTCACATATAATTCATATAGAATGCTTCACTAATACTTATCCTTCTCCACTACACCACGATTATTATTCATGGTAATTAAAACTTCCTTTCCACTTGTTGCGTGGTAGGAAGAATATTGGACCAATATTTCAACGATATGTAAGTAGATAAGTTACAGTGAATTGACTACGTAGTCTACAACCATGGCAATAGCGAAGTCTCAATTTAAAGGGGCATTCAGTTGTGTTTTTTTTCAGTCGAAATTTCCTTTGTTCAACTTTGTGAAAACTATACACCAAAATCTAGAAAAACGTGTCCCTTAACATTTACGTTTTAACCAAAAAAAATCTAGCTGTTAAAGATGGGTTTCCTTATTTTTAGTGTCAAATTGTTGCATATAATAAGGAGATTTAACCAATCATAAATGACCATGTCTTGATAAACAAAACAAGTGGTTCCCTAGCAAGATACACCCTTTTCCCTGATAAATTTAATATAAGTATTAGCACTTTCATTAATGAAAATAAGGGAACCCATCTTTAATTTTTTACATTTGATGTTTTACATCACTATTGTAATCTTTCCAAAGCAGTCCCATTCTGATGAATTATGGGCTGTGAAAAACAAAGTAAAGCAATATGACAGCTTCCAAGCAGCCGATATTCCACGATTTGCCATTGTTTTCAAAAATGAGTCCTACTTAAATCTCTTTGATGGGTTAAAACGACATTGTAATTTGATTTAAGTTAGAATTGTCCTGATTAATAATTACGAGCGTTTATTTATTTAGAGAGCATCAATATAAAACCTAAATGGATCTCACATCATAGCGATCCCGCATGTTGCGAATAAGAATAAGTTTTGGAACTCATGACCATTTTCATTATTTGGGATATCGGTACATCTAATTAAAGGCTAGAAATAATATTGGGAGTTGCTCAAATCGTTT